AATGAGAGAAGCCATGCTGCTTGTATATAATTAAGCGATGTTGCTGGAAATGTTGTAATAGCTTTCTATTGATACACTTCTCAATTTATTAAAGTATCGATATCTCAGGTGTTTGTCAGGAATATCAACCATACCTGCTTTTGTCACAAACAACTAGAACGAATTATCTTGAATACTATTGGGACAAAACTCTAGACACTCGTCGAAAGTGGCTGTCTGATTCAATAAGGCTAAAGGAAAACATAAACCAGGATTGCTCTTGAGGGATCGGTGTTCTCTTACGTAGCTGGCGTCGAAATTATTTTCGAGAAGTTTCGCGACACTTTTTATTAACCGGGCAGATATTGCTACTTTTGAGTTATCCTAAGAAAGCGTCTATATATATTTATTTTGGCATAGCGCGCGGTTCAGTACCCCGTGTGATGACTTTCAACAGTATTAGCTATTATAGATTATCATGCATGGAAAATCCAGATGTTTACGGATTTATTTGTAAATTTATAATTAAATCGTGAGTTGCTGTATCGTAATTTATAGACGCATTAAGAAATGCTGCATGCAGTTCGGTGTTATTAATGAAAAGCGAATGATCCTAGAATAGCCTTAAGTTATATATACATATACAATATATATGATAAATCTGTGGCGCTCAACAATATTCAAGCCCGTACTTCATATTGTCTGCCTGTGACTTTTCTTTTTTCACGTCTGACTACCACTTCCTTTCGTCAATAACTAGTGGCATATTCAAATATCCATAAATCTCCATATTGCAAACATACTATACCTATGCACTGACCATGTCTATAAGTTTATTTTGACACCTTCTGATAATTTCGGAGTTGAGTGTTTCCAACAATACTTGACAATCTCATAGACACACATGATCCAGATCTAACTATAGATGGTTTTGTTATGGACCGATAGCTGTAAGCACCTTCCCAGTAACCAGTAGTGTTGTTTGCAGCTGAGGCTGTACAGAGTATCTATTAATCTTTGATGGGTAAACTTGGATTCAGTCTATATGACTATCTTGAGTCTCTACCACTGGCCCTTGCACCAGATTGTTAGTCAATCTACTTGGCTCAATTTTTGTGTACCGGTTCGGGTGTATGCTCTTTCGATGCCGCTTATATATTATCCACAAAATGTTATTTATCAGATGTCGACTTCATTTGGCGTTCCAGTGCTATTTTTTCAATTAATAACAACTGTTTCACTGTTAATTTTTACCAAATGCCTTGTATATGTAACCGCATATGCGTTCCAATAAACCGTGACAATTTAAATTGTAAACTATGCAGTAAACTAAAAATCCTTTTATTGTTATTCCCTGGAAACGCCGCATTTATTCAATTGACAACGTCCGAACCATTTTGGGTTATTAATGAAAATTGCTCTACGCTGGCAATTATCATAAATATAAAGCGATTCAAACCAGCTCACGTTTCCGCCTTTCGCCGTTTTTGCAATATAGATTGTACGTGTGATAATTACGCGGAAACTTAAACATACAGGTAGATAGCATACTTGCTCAAATGGAAAATTATCATAATTGCAGGTACGACAAAAAAACTAATAACGGACTTCTGAATTGAGTACATTTTGATGTGTATAGCAATAGTCTGGAGCCAAATGTTTTTGAGGGTTCTCAGATTTGAATCAGCGTGACCCAGAATATTTCCGGTGATAGGCCAAAAAACTGAGCTATCACGAAATGGTTTTTCTTTCATTGTTTAGAATTTCTCCTGACTTCGTTTGAGATGCCACTCTTTTTTCCTCTTAATCAGAATGTTCTCATGTTTCGAATCTTGACCTATTTAGCTCTCCTTACGATATTATATTGACGCACTGGTTTTTTTTTTTTTGGTGTTAGGTGTCATTTAAAAATGTTTAACAGGACATTTAATCCACATTTAAGGTAGCAGAATATGGTTCCTGCAACTATGAACATGCATTCTTAATAAAGTATACGTGCTCTCACCGTACAGTGAGTTCTCAGTTAGTACTATCCATAGCTGACTAAAATTTTATGAAGCCCAACTCTCACGTTTTTATTATACAGGGTCTTTCAGAAAGACGTGCCACTATTTTTATGATAGTAGGTATAACCAGAAATAAAAAAGTTTCTATAAACTGAAAAAAAGATATCTACGAAGCTGCTAAAGATACTGAGTTAAGATCTTAGATGCTCGGTAAGCAGGTCATAAGCAATAAACACACAGAAACTGGGGTACCTGGATCCCTGATAGGCAACATTTTCTACGCAACTGGCTTTTCCGGAGAAAATATTCTTATGAAAAGGTTCAGCCTCCCCTTCAGAATCTTTTGTCCAGTCTGTTGTCTTTCTTATGACATCTAAATTCAGCTCTTTTTGGCTTGCCGCCGACGTGAACGCACATAGCATATGTGCGCTGAAAAGTGAAGTGTCTATACCACTCTCCCTTAGAGTTTGTTTTATCCGTCTACATTAGTAGAATGAATGAAATTAGTATAATGGTCTGCGATGAGTCCTCCTTTATAGGTCTTTTGTAAGTCAAAAATAACTTTGAATGCTGCTTCTTCCTGTGTGCTTATGTCCTCTCTATATAAGGCTCAAGAGTATTGGCGGCACAGATACTTCTCTCCTCAGGGAAGTAGGGAACATAAAGACAAGGTTGTAACCGAGTTTTGGAAGACGTTTTGATGCTGCTAGAAATATGTATTTCAAGCCCATTATTGTTTTTGATGATATTATCAATACCGATGACTGATAAGGTCTGTAGTTTATGTGCTGTGATCAAAGCTAATATCGTCACAGTTTTGTATCATAATTTTTATAAGGTAATTGGTTCATTTGGAAAAAGAGTGTTCAGATAGTTTAAAACAACAGCGGGATTCCAGATTGACTCATATCTAGGGGATGGTGGATGTAGTTTATATATCCCTTTAAAAAATCTCTTAACTCTAGAGTCAGAGGCTAGTTCCGGTGATATTGCCAATGCTAAAGCTGACCTATAGCTATTTAAGGTACCATAGGTCATACCTCTTACATACTGATTTTCAAGAAATTCTAGTATTATCAAAATATTGTCCCAATATGGATTCATGCCCTGAAGATAGCAGAAATTCCACCAGCGTTTTAATCCGCCCTCGTACTGCTTCAGCGTAGATGTGGTTATTGAAGCAATCATGTTAGCTAATGATGATGATAAATGTCTGTTGTTAAGGGCTTGGCAGATACAATTCCTGCCAGCAGCATAATCTTGTTGTACATAGGGTGATGTAGTCTGTCAAACGAAGATAACAGATTCTTATTAGGTGGAAAATGCACTAACTCAGAACTCAATAATTGTAAAAATAGGGGATATAAGGGTTAAGTGGTCCACAATGATACCATAACAATACCACTAGCATCCTCACTATAAATTTTTTGCAACACTGGTAATATCATACTAAATGGAAAAAATGCACAAAAGGAGTATTTAGCCCAAGAAAAGGGTGAAAGCGCCTATTGCAAAGGCATCAGGATCCTGCTGCCATGACACAAAAGTCTTACATTTTGCGTTCAACCTTGATGCAAACAAGTCTATGTCCGGCTCACCAAATTTTTAATAATTTCATGATATGCACAACTGGCCAGATCCCATTCAGTTTCGGGAGCTATTTTTCTTGACAAATAATCAGCTTCAGCATTAGCCTTGGATTTAGTGTAGGATGCAAAAATATAAATGTTTCGTTTTTCACAGAATTTCCAAATTTCCCTAGCTAGCTCATTTAATTTGGGATGACGCGTACCTCCCTTTTTATTGACATAGGTTATGGCTATCGTATTGTCAACCCTTAAATGGATATTAATATCATTTCTTTTTAGCAAAACATTTCAATTCAAAGTAAACCGCCTCCAATTCTAGAAAATTTATATGGAAACATTTCTCAGGCTCTGTCCAGTGACCATATATTTTATTATTATCACAAACTGCACTCTATCCCGACAGGAAAGTATCTAAATAAATAGCCATATCACGGGATGTCTTCCTTAAATCTATCCTACACTTGGGAAGATTTTCCATCCACCTCTTGATGTCAGAAAACAAATAGCTTAGGATCACCATTCTTGCGTTATAATTACCCCCAGCTACCTTTAATGCAGCTGAGTTTGCCTGCTAAAAAATCTTTTGATTTAAACCCAGCCATACTTGAGAGCTGGACAAATAGAAGCTGAAAGTCCTACTACACGAGCAAAACATCCAATTTTGCATTTTGGTTCAGTGTATAGTACTTGCAATGTCAAGCATATGCTAAATTTTTTGCTATCAGGAATAGTCATATATGGCTGCTTTGAATTAAACCTAAAGCCTAAAAATTCACATTCCTGAGCAGGTTGCAGAATACTTTTTTCTCTATTTCTGACAAAACCCAATTTTCTGAGAAGATACAAAGTAAGATTGATATTATTCAAACAATCCTGGTATGTTTTGCCAAATAATATAAAGTGATCTAAATAGACAGCTGAGATGAGACCCTGAGATCTTAACTTAGATACTCGTATTACAGGCTTCATGATTTTAGTAAAAATAAAAGGGGCAGTACACAGTCCAAAAGGCATTACACAAAACTCATGAAGCTTCCCTAGAAAGAGAAGTCTAAGAGATTTTCTAGATACTTCATCAATATTAACAAGAAAGTAAGCTACCTTCAGATCAATAGTTGCCATGTAACAACCTCCAGATATCAACTTTGACACTGATCTAAAATTCTCAATTTTGAAGTGATTTGAATCTATGAACTTATTTAGCTTTTTCAAGTTAAGCACTATTCTATGGCCACAATTTTCCTTTGGAACTAAGAGAATACTGGAGATGAGTTTATCTCTTTGAGGTGTACACCTCTTGGTAGCCCCTATAGCTAGTAAATGATTGATCTCCAGCTTTATTGCACTTAACTCATCACTATCCCAATTGTTTTGATGACAAGGCATTTGGTGTTGAGTAACACATCTATTAAATGTTATTCTATAGCCTTGGATCCAGGCCAGGATCATTTTATCAGAGGTAAGTTGACACCAATTATTATAGTGTGATGCTAAATTGCCTGCTACAATCTTTACCTCACTCATTTCATGTGTTCCCTCTTCTTGAACCGGGTCGTCTGCTCCTGATTCTTTTTCTGATATAATGTCAGCGACTATTTCCGATCGTTATATTTTGGCTCCCAAATATGCTTGGGTTCCAGTTTAAATGATTGGAGACGAACGCTCTCCTAGGTGCAGATTTCTTTTTCAGGTCCATCCCTGAACGTTCAACTGCTTTGGCTGATTTGATACGCTCACCCAAATTTTCTCCGAAGAGCCATGGATCTGGGGGTAATTCTATTAATGTACTTTTCAAGTCTTTATCGAAGTTAAGGGACAGGTGGTTCCTTCTTGCCTCCGTCTTTTGTTTGTGCAGATCTGATAGGATTCTTTCTGGATCACTGATCAGCTCAATCAATTTGAGGGTTGTTACTCTCTTCTTATTTTCTTCTGCAAGTAAAAGAGTTATAGCCTTACCTAGAGCTGCAAGACTAGCTCCAATCTGAGATTGCATTATTGAAAGCTTCGCATCCCTCTTGATACCAGATTCCCCTGCTGTTGTAAGGAACTATTGAACTGTGGAGCGTATTTTTAGATAAGTTTCAAGCAGATGGAAGGATCCGATCCCTTTATTAGGATAGTTTCCCAAACTTCGGCAACTTTCTAATGAAATGATTCTGTTGAAACACTTGCCTGCAGAGTCTGCTGACCAATCATAGTTACAAAGTCTTGTGGTAAGGGGTCCTCCACCCCAAAGGGTTAGCTATATATCCTACCAAACTGAAATTCATAGTAAATAACAGGAAGTATGTTGATACTTCCAGGAAATATATGTATAGTCAATAAGAATAGGGAATTTATCACTTATTCCATAACATTTCTAAGCTGTCTGTTAAATTTTTTGACCTATGATCAAGGTTGCTTGAACATTTTAACTCAACACAGAGCACAATATTAATAGCTTGCCAACCATGGTCCACCATCGAGCTTGCTGAGAATAGCTCACCACCGAGCTTCTTGTATATAGCTCACCATCGAGCTGTTCATATATAGCCCACCACCGAGCTTCTCATAACAATATAGCACACCACCGAGCTTCTTGTCTATAGCCCACCATCGAGCCCGTTCTACATAGCACACCATCGAGCTTGTTGTCCATAGCCCACCACCGAGCTTAACATTCCTAGCCCACTACCGAGCTTAGTTGAATGGAATAAGTCCTCACTTTACTATACATTAAAGTACCAGGTTCAATATCCTTTGGTTTCTTGATTAATAAAATTATCCTAAGTCAGAGTTATTTTATACTTATAGATATACCTGTATCTTCCAAAAACACAGATTCCACAGGCTCTTGAGTTGTGTGAGGCGATTCCGATTAAGTTTCATCTGTAGATGGGATTTCCTCAATTCTCTGTTGCTTTGCCCTATTTTTGCCCCCATCGAGGGGAGAGCACTTAATTTTTTTCTCTAATCGCTTCAATCGACGACGTAAAACCACAACTTCTTCCTCGCTCTCAGAGGATGTCCCTGGAGACGAATACCGACGATATCTTTTCGGCATATCCAAAGATTGCTAAGATATTTATTAATTTTGAAATTGTACTTGTGGGTCTTATCCCACAAATTATGAAAGTCACGTTGACAGATGGGTACGGATGACGTACATCATGGTAGAGATAGGAAGCAGGCGAATTTGCTTTAAACTTGTGGTCGATATCGTATGAGTTGGAATACTACGTGGTTATCATCCGAAGAAGGAAATGCGAGTATAATGTGTATCTTATCTTTATTCAGTAGTGTAGAATCTTACCATTCATTAAAGTTTTCCTGTCCACGCCACTGGTTTTACCGGCATATTTATTTTTGTTTATAGATAAATAAACTTCAAAATAAAGGGAAAGCTATTTCAAAAATAAATGAAAAAGGAATTAATCACGACAACAATAAAAAAAATTGATACAACTACCGTGTTTATTTCTAAATTTATGAGGACAACATTGGAAACAAAAAGTAGTGCTGAATAAATGCTATAACATCCTACCTAAAGGAGGTGTGCTACCAATTTGTGATAGCTTCTTTGTTGAGCTCACTTAATCCGAAATGCTAAAGAGATTTGAGGAAAAAATGTCGATAATTTCAGAAGTAAAATAATAAAAATCTTACTCAAATTGATTGATTCCACAATTACTAGTTGTTATTCTAGACAAACATAAGAGTATAACATGGGTAATACCAGGAGAAGTATACCACGGAAACCAGTAGCGTGCATAGTCAAGGTTTAATGAATGGTAAGCTTCTAAGCTACTTTGTTCACATGCCATACAGTGTCTCCAATATCAAGCTTCACGGTGTTTTCAGAATAGGGGAGGCTAATCCTTTTCATAAGAATATTTTAGTATTTTACCTCAAATATTCAAACCTAAATATCTACAATACGGGTGATCTGACAAAAATTTCTTAAGAGAAAGAATTTATAGAAAATTGAATGGTTATTTATGAAATTTTTGGAAAATGCCAATGGTGTAGAACATATTTCCTATTACGTGTTCAGGTACCCCAGTTTCAACCTCCCTGGTTTAGTTTGGGCTGGGAATCTCTGTGAGAGTATTGCTGATGAAGTACTCACTAATCGTCTAAGATCTTAACTCAATATCTTTACCCGCTGCGTAGATATATTTTTTTAGATTTCATAAAGAGAACGTCATCACCCTTTATCTCGGTAGAGGAGCATCCTTGGACCGATATTTATAGGATTCTCTTTGTTATATTTTTGAACGTTCTTCCTATCATAGAAATATTGGGCACGTCTTTCTGAAAGACCATCTAATCGTAGAGAGTTAGTGCCGTTACATCTTTCTCCTTTCTCTATTTCTCTTGTCCTTATAAAATGTCCATTCCCTGCTCTGAACCTTATTCCGTAAACGTCTTACCGAACTCACAGGCAGAAGTGTACACATAACATATATTATCCGAATTTTAATTAGTTCTAGGGAAAATCCAGAGCCTCCCCATTATGTGAGCATTTCTATTCAGTTCATCTGACATGTATTATTTTCTGGAGTTAGTAACGAATCTAGGTCATCTGAAGCGTGTCGTAGGGACCGAACTACGCTATTCTGCTGGCAGTATTTCACGTTCCTCACCCTCGTTCTCCGGATGATGCAGCGAAAATCGTTGAGCACTATGAAGAGCCCAATAATATTGGTGGAATCAGAGGGATTACCACGGATGACAGGATGACGCCTCTTCTTTTTTTCATAAAATACGGATCACGTAATGATATTCTAAAAGGATGATGATAGACGTTATGAAATTGTAAGCATTTCAAGGAGCGAGGAAGGATTGGAATTAGGGTTTAAGCGGTGTCACATCCTTTATCCAAATTCGTCAACTGATTTACTCCAAAAAAGCCTACCATTTTTATCCACACCATGATTGTACACAATTATTGCATTCATCCTTCTAGGATCAAGATTTTAGACTTTTAGTTATCCGACAGAGAACAACTCGAACGTTTCAATGGATGTAACTCTGATACCAGATCAGTGATCCATGGAGTTCCTCAGGGTTCCGTACTGGGACCACTGTTGTTTTTATTATACATTAACTATATCTCTAATAGCCTGTCAGAACAATGCTGCTTTGTTTTTATATGCTGATGATACTGCTTTGGTAAATTCTAATAAATATGTAAACACCCTTGTCGAAACCAGCTCATTGTGCAAGTCGGACCTTGAGTATTATAAAACGCAGTCCATAATACAAAGCTTACGCAGCCATGAGATGGAATCTGCTCAATCAGTGAATTTGCTAAGAGTACAAATTAACTATACAGGCTGTAAACGTTGTGATAGACATTATTTAGATGGGTGATAGAAGGGGTTAAAAGAAGCAAAAGGTTTCATATAACATGGGGGTCAAAACGGCATTTTTTTTAGAGAAAAGCGACTTTAAAGTAAAATAAAATCTGACAACGCCGCAATGCCAGACGAAAATTACGACGGAACGCAGTGTAAATAAGGATGGAGTTTGTTATTTTTGGCTTTTAGGTATTATTTCGTTATTTGATAATGTACTCGTAAAATGCAAACAATTAAAAAAACGGACTTACCACTAACTGTCTCAGCGCTTTACCTGGTGAAAGTTTATTGAACGTATTAAAAAAATCCACTTAAAACTACATACATTGTTTTTCTTTTTAAAACCCACACTGCACTTTTTTTGTATTTAAAGAAGGTGTTCAAAGTGTCGTCCTCCACTTCCACACAAGCTTCATTACAACGAACCCAGTTTCTTCTTACTCTAGGTCCTCGACTTTGTCCATTTATTATTTCAGCCGCATTAAAGTTTTTTTCGCGAAGTTGTGCTTTAGTTGTTATTGGACCAGCCCCATAAACCATCTCTTTAAGTTCTCCCCAATACTAGAAATCCATCGGTTTGAGGTCAGGAGACCTGCACTCGTTGTACATGGCAGGGATAAAGCAAATTTTCCCGTAGGATTCTATGGAATATGGTATGCGATAGTCCTACGCGGCGGCCTAGTTCCCGAGTGCTGATATCTGCATTGATTTCCACGATATTTAAAATTTGTTCCTCCTGCTCTACAGTAACATGTCTTTCACGAGTGCGAATATTAGTGGGATGAACACTTCTTGTATCTTGAAATCTTTGGCACACTTGCACAAATGTCCTTGTGTCTGGGTGTACCCGTTGGCTAAATCTGTCGCGATAAATTTGAGCTGCAAGATTTGAATTTTGACGAGCTTCACCGTAAACTAACAACACGTCGGCGAACTCTTGATTCGAGTACATTGTGAATAAACACGACGACGTACGCGAACAATAACTAACCACTGTTACCGTTTGCGATCTATTGCCGGTTCGATAAGAGTGATGAATTGCCGACGCGCTGTTATCATGTGTGTTTTAAATATTTAATTTAATGAAACTTACTTACTTACTGATTACAAATTTTGGCTTAACCTAGAAAAACTTAATGCCATTTATTTATTAATTACCCAATTTAAAAACGTTTTAGATTGGATTATAAAGATTAGTAAGAATGTGGTGATTGTGGTCGATATAAAGCACTTAAAGTTGTAAACTATAAAATCATTTAGACAAAAATTTATTGACTTTTGGGCCATGGGTCATATGAACTTTTTGACTTGTTTTGATCCCCCCTATTACCCATTTCAATAATGACTACCGTAACGTTTACACCCTGTATATATTGAGAGGTGCATACTGTGTGTGGTGTATCGTTTGTCAGAGTTATAAATATATCTCATACGTAGTCTAAAGGGTAGAGTTTCCGATAAAGTATTATTAACTGCTTATCATGCATATTTCCACTCTGAAATGACATATGCAATTTTGGTCTGGGGTCACTTTCCACATATGCTAAAAGTGTTTGGCATGCAAAGGCGTTGTATATGATACATCTCTGGTTTGAAATACATAGACCCCTGCAAGGCTGAGTTCATTAAATTAAAGATACTAACCCTTCCATGCAGTATATTTTGGGTTTTCTTCTATATATCAAAAGTAACATTAGTACCTTCCCCACTCGTAGTGACAACCACAATAATAAAACATGAAATGGAAACAAAATTTATTCCAATTACTACCGTCTAGAGTTGGAACAAACTTTTATGGCATTAAATTGCTTAATCTGCTGCCCAACAATATAAAATCACTGGATATTGACGTTTTTCATAGGAAACTCAAGTATCATTTATTAAAAACCCCCTCTTTAGCACGGACGAATATTTGGCAAATGACTTTACTGATATACCTTAAATGTTTACTTATATATTTCTCTGTCCAACTTGTGTACATTTTTTAATGTTTTGTCTGTCTGCATGTGTATAGTTGATTGTATTATATATTTTTCCAAACGATGTACTTTTATCTCATGACGACATTTTTGGATTGTTTTTTTAAGTTGTTTTTAGTATTTATGCGTTACACAGCATTGCATTGTTTTTAACTGGTTTTATTCATATCTGATGTACTTTTTTCTAAGCATTCTATCAGAATATCTTGACTTGTGTGTAAGCACACCAACAAATTATTATTATTATTATTATTATTATTATAATATATACTAAGTGACATATAAATCCAAACACCCAGTTTAAATGGTTTTATTTTAATAAAAGTTGGTGAATGTATTTATCTTACTGTAAATAACAAGTGAAAAAATTTTCAGCCTTATCAGTTGGACATTCCTGTTTTTATACTGCTTTTTTTAAATTCACTAACGCTCTAAAAATGAATATTTCAGCCGCAGTAAACAATCAACGTTGGGGCGGATTTTGGTTCTTGACATCCTTTACGATCGGTTACGATGCCTAGAGTACAGAGACCTGTACGATTTCGTCAACTTAGTGAGTTTGATAGGGGCCGTATAGTGGGATTTCGGGAAGCTGGACTTTCTTTTCGGGCAATTCCAGTTAGAGTGCAAAGAAGTGTAGACACTGTGGTTAGGTGTTGTCAGGCATGGCTTCGAGAAGGCCATACGCAAAGAGCAAGGGGCACTGGACGCCGCCGTAGAACAACAGACCGTGAAGATCGCCGCCTAAGATTATTGGCCTTAAGGGACCGTTTCTCCACTACCAGGTCCACGTAAATGAATGGTTTGCAGAACACGGAAGACCTATTGGCATGCGAAGTGTTTACCGATGAATGAGAAGTTTTGGCTTGTTTTCATACCGGCCACACTGGGTCCTCCCTTTAACTCGAGAACACCGACGTAATCGCCTTGAGTGGTGCAGACAACGGTCACTCTGGGATCAGGAATGGAACAGTATTGTCTTTAGTGACGAGTCTCGATTTTGTTTAGGCATGCACGATGGTCGTGCCAGAGTTAGAAGGCGACGTGGTGAAAGGAGGAATCCACAGTTTTTTGTTGAAAGACATGTTTATCACACTGTTGGAGTTATGGTTTGGGGTGCTATAACTTATGGTTTCAGGTCACCTTTAATCTTCATCAGAGGTAACATGAACCCGCAGCGTTATATCCACGAAGTTCTAGAACCCCATCTTTTACCCTATCTTGACACCCTGGCAGATCCAACTTTCCAACAAGATAATGCCCGACTACATGTTGCAAGAGTCACAATAGACTTCTTTCAACATAATGATGTCACATTGTTACCATGGCCACCAAGATCTCCCGACTTATCTCCAATTGAGCACGTGTGGGATATGATGGGTAGGAGATTGCTCAATTTGCAACGTCCTCCTCAGACTCTAGAAGCACTTCGAGAGGAGTTGGTGGTTGCCTGGAATGAGATACCACAGGAGGACATTGACCACCTGATCAGAAGCATGCCTAGGCGCGCTGGAGAATGCGTAGTACATCAGGGTGCATCCATACATTATTAAAGGTCAAAGGGCTTTAAAGCAGTGCAATCATTTTGAAATTTTTATCATTTACTTATTATGCTTCATTAAGTACTTATACAAAATTTTATTAAAATAAAACCATTTAAACTGGGTGTTCGGATTTATATGTCACTTAGTATACTAACGTCATATCTAGCTATAGCCTGCTATAGCAAATAAGATTGATATTTTATTGAATTTTTAGAAAAAGTATTGTTATTAGTAAAGATCGCAAAGCTACACATGAACGTGTGTACGGAAAAAATTGCACAAGTCTTTGCTCGTACAAGTTACGTGAAAATGTGTGAATTTATCTACTGCCGCTAGTACTCGGTGGGTCAATAATAGAGAGCGCCGGTAGTATCTTGGCAACCGATTAACCTAGAGCTATCGGTTAATTTTTCTCTCAAGATAGTAGCCAAGAGAACTTACTAAAAATTACATCCAGCTTCCTGGAAAAGCTACTAAGGGCGTAATTGCAATTTTTAAGATTCAAACGCCATTATCTTGCAAACACTCAAAATTACGTACTTATTTAATGGCTTTGTCGTTTTAACCGCTCAGTTTACAAAAAATTTTGTATACATCAATTTTTTGTATTTTGGTTAGTTTGTGGGGCGGGGAGGTTGAATGTCATTCCAGAAAAAGTAACACAACTTCATTACGAAGAGCATTTATCTGGGGCCCTAATGAGGACTCAACCTTGTTAGACTAGTTCAGCTTGTGGTCGCTACACGGCACTTTTTGGATGTACAAGCTTTTTTAATATACATTCAAAACTGTCAAATATTGATTGGAAACCACACAAAAAAATCCTATAAATTCGTGAAAACCGTAAATCGATATATTTATTCGTTATAAGGAGAAATAGACTCAATTTGTACTATAACTACTACTGGATACAAAGATCAAGTTATACTATGAAAACTTATGTAAAATGTATCACATCAATGGCAGGATTTTAAAATATATTGCTTTAAAATTTATTTTGATGCCTTTTCATAACTGCTATGGGGCGATACCTTATTCAATTGACCTGAATTTTTGAAGTTGGCAAGACTTCACCCAGCACCCAATTTAGGAAGCTGAAAACAATTACCAGCAATCCCTCTTGGCCACTTTTGTTACAACATTCTTTATCCGATAGCTCTGTGCCAAGCGGTCGCCGAGATACAGTCAGCGTGCTTCATAGCTGGCACTTCCGGCTTGCTTAGGTGTATGAACAGCAATTCTTGGCGTACTTGTGCAAACCTGAATCTGAAACGTTGGGCATAAACAGCATGTGCAAGAATACTTCTTAAGCTTGATCCGACATGTTTTTCATATATATATTTGCATAAGAAACTTGTACAAGCGTCATTCTCAAGTATACAGTTACGAATGTAGCCTTTTTAAGAAATTAAAACCTCGCCCCACCTGAAACATTTGGCATTCTGAAAATATTATCCTCTAAATATATATAAGCTGTTTCTCTTTTCTTTATCTAAAATCACTACAACACTCATCTCAGATGTCTAGGTTTTGCGCGGGGGCGCTGGACGGAAAATGGTTTGAGGTCAGGTCAAAAAACGATTATTTTCGATATACGATTTCAGTTTAGTTCTGCATTTCCGTATCACTTGAACTTCGAGTATTTCTGGAAAACTGCATGTATTCTTATACAAGATAAAACAAATAATCCATATACATTTGAGGCGCATAGGATCTAACTATAACTAAAACTGAAACTGTCTTTCGCAGACCTTTTGTGCGTTTATTCTTAGATCGACATGTTGGGTATTTGAAATGATAGAAGCTCCTCAAAAATGTTTCTAAGCTCAACCAGCTCATCTTGTTGTTGAATATCCAAACTATTGAACTTATATAACTACTCCCTAAGTCCTGGTGAATCCAGAGTGTGAGATCTAAAAACTAAAGTGCTGACCTAAGTAAGCATACAACTTAGGTGGCAACGAAAAAATATCTTTGTAGGTGAGCACAAATGAACTATTTGAAAAATAATGCCTTATGACTATATGCTTCTCATACCGTACAATACCATTTTTTTTAATATTCTGATTATGTCCTGGTCACAAATTGGGAAACTGCTGAAAGATGAAATTAGATATCTCTGGTGTCGTCCAATTATAAAAGTGAAGCTTGGGGGTGGAACTAAATCTTTTTCCCTACTCATAATATAATAATAATAATAGTAATACTAATAATAATAATAATAATAATAATAATAATAATAATAATAATAATAATAATAATAATAATTCTTTATTGCCTAACAGAAGCATCCATTTATAGGACAATATAAGTGAAAAAGAACAAAAGTGATCATAAAACATACAAAAATAAAATATTTAAATGTATATAATTGTAAATACAAAATAGAAAAAAAAATATTTAAAAAAGGACGACTACCATTTAGACTACCACTAAAGTGTGCACATAAAAAGTTGTATATTAGATAGTAATATTCATTGGATTTAGTCGTTACCTCAACGATACTGTCATAATGAATATCACAATTATCTGGTATTGCATTAAAGTTGGAACACATAAAGTATATGGGAGACCTGATCAAAACATTTGATCTTGGCGTATTCAAATAAAAAGCCGGACATCTACGTGAAGCGCGAGATGGCACATGAAAACTGAGTTTGGATAGCAAGGCCGGAGAGTCAATTTGATTATGGACGAGCTTATAAAGAAATCTTAAACTGTTATCAATTCTTCTTAACTCTAGCGGCTACATCTCGAATCTAAACAGCATAGTCATTTGATCACTGCCTCGCGTCGAATAGATACCATCCAATTTGAATGTCAAGTACTTCAACAAACGGCGCTGCACGCCCTCAATTGTATTAATATGATTTTGGTAGCATGGGTTCCATACACTTGATGCATATTGCAGGTTTGACTGAACTAGCGCACAGTATAGCGCTTTCAGCGCAATTTCACTAGAGAAAGATTTGCAGTTTCTTATCAAGAACCCGAGTATCTTCGTAGCGGACGAAACTATGTTATTAATATGACAGGTGAATTCTAATTTGCTGTCAAACAAAACAGATAAATCTTTCACCTCGGAGCATCACACTAAGCTCTCGTGCTCCAGTTTGTCGTCAAAAGTTATCGGACGTATTTTACGGGTATATGAACAAATTTTACATTTTGTGACATTCAGAAATAACTCATTATTCTTGCACCAATCTGAGAGACGATTTAGATTATTTTGCAAAATTGAGCAGTCTGCAGCAACATTTATTCGTAGATAGATCTTTAGATCATCAGCAAAGAGCAAGCTAGGACAAGTGAGACAGTCAATCAGATCGCTGATAAAATAAAGGAACAGGAGAGGCCCAAGATTTGCCCCTTGAGGCACCCCAGATGGTACATTATAAACAAAAGAATTATAATATGACCGGGACTGTATGTATTTTGGGAAATTACGTAGGTACTATAAGCAAACAGCAAAATAGCTGGCTATGTTAGAGATAACAAGGACAGAATAATGCCAACAACCCGCCGGAAATAAGTGGTTTAAATTTTTGTAGTCGTAAATCATCCAAAACATCTGCCTGCCTGAATAAAAAAATGGAGTGACTACACTAACCTTGCTTCTTCTCGCTTACGTGTGGTTACACAAAACTGCAGAATCTAATTACTAATAAACTTTAGCTTCGAGCAGTATCAATAAATTCCTATATCCCCAAATTGAGGGGTTGATTTATAGATCAATTTAGTGAGGATGAAAAATTGAGTGAGGTGCCTTTGTATATTGTTTTATTTATGTTCCTGGACAAAAACCTTTTTCGCTAGCAAAATACACGGTATTACACTTTTTTGTAGGATAAGCGAAATTTATGTCCCACATCATTCATCCCTTCGAAATATCGGTGTATTTATCCAACATGCTCAAAAAACTGAAATAGATTGTCTCGGTAGCCATACATTAGTAGAAACTCCTGAAATATGCCAAGCCTGTTTTACGATATGAAGCATGGATACTGTCGTCAGATATTACGTGAAGTTCTGGAGCTATCCATTGCTCCCTTACATTATTAACTTAGATTAGATGCATCAGTGATCGACAATACAGAAGTCCTTCATGTAGTCTACGAATTACATCTTGCATTTGCTTAAAATGTTCAAGTCAAGCACCAACTATTGGTTTAGCAAACCAACAATATAGCTCGATCAGAATAAGGCCACATTGTCGGCAACACTAGCTCAGCTTCTCGTTTGTCGAACGTAACGAAGAAACAAGCACCCACCGCCTTAAAGCAGAAGACACCGAGTCCTCGTTGGGAGAGTTACTCGGGAAGCGACCAGGTTGGTTTTATGGTGACCAGGGAAATACAAGAGGATTTGTTTCCGCTGCCTCGGGAATACTCGCTGGCATACTGCGTAGCCGAAGACCTGAACGCATCAAGAAGCTTAGCTTTCCTATTCCACCGGAGGTTCGAAGAGCGTCAGGCGCATTTTGGGAAGGCACTGTATGTTTTGGATAGTGGCCGATTTGTCTACGCGCTCGACATCAGGGCAGCTCATCACCAGCCGTATTTGAGAAACCTACGGCAACACCTGATGGCCTGGCACGTTCGGAAGCTGGCAATACCAAAGATGGAATATGAGCGAGAAGGACTGTATAGGAAGACCGTACGGAATATGATATAGGTGCTGTTTCAGCATACGGGAGTCATGGTTTGCAGCGACGCCTTCCAGCGGAGGGGAGCCCAGGAGAAGACGGTGCCATGCTACATCGATAGAGCATCCAGGTGCACCAAAGGAATTACAGGATGATTCACAAGTTGTGACAAAAAATAAAACATCATACACAGGACCGCCTTTTGAGGGGGGTCTTCTATGTAACATTTTTTCCTCGAGGGCTTCATTAAAAAGATAGGGGTGTTAGAGTTTGAAAATAAAAAACATTTTTTTAATAGTCCGTCAACTGGAATAAACTAAAATTTGGTATGTGGACTTACCTAAGTGTTGTCCACATTCAAAAGTCAAAATTAACGTGCACCATTGGCAGATGTACAGGGAATTAGTGGCATTATTTTGCCAATTTAAAATACTACGCCACTGTTTTTTATTTCGAAATGTGCAATTTTTCAAATTTTAACTTCAACTTGCTACAAATAACTGCTATTGTGTTTTTTCCAAGAGTGGATCGTTTTCGTGGAAATAAAAAAAAACGAATTAGATAATCAAAGCTTTATTTCCACAAATGTTCCGACGGATACAAGCGCGGCATATTTTTAATAAAGAAAAACGTATTTCCTTAAAATTTGTTGTGGCTTGAATTCGATGAAAAGCATCTATTCTTTCTTGTAACTGATCAACAGTATTAATTTGTTCAGCATACACTAGTTGCTTAATGCGCCCCACAGAAAGAAATCCAGGGGTTCAAATCAGGTCACCTCGCAGGTCAATGTACGGGTCCGTTTCTGCCAATCCATCGTTGTTTAAAATAATTATTTAACCATGTGGATATGTCACGACAAACATGCGGTGAGGCAACGTCGTGCTGATACCACATTCGTACTCTCGTTGCTAACGGAACATCATTTAACACATTTTCTATGTAATTCCCTAGAAAAGCTAAATATGAGTTAGCATTTGAACGTTGTGGCAATACGTGCATAAACAGTTGGCCATTAAAAATGCCGCACCAGACATTTCTAGAAAATATGTGTTGAAACGTGTGGATTTACACAGAACAGAGATTTTCTAACAGCTAAATATGTTCATTATGACAACTAGAGGTTCCACTCCTCGTAAAAACCGATTTATCTGACCACAAAACCAATTTTGATTACGCATTTGCAGTAATCACTCCCAAAAATTTCGCCGTTGCGCTTCTTAGCCGGGTTGCAGACATTACACATTTTGCCAATGGTAAGGATGTAAAACTTATTTAAAATTATCCACGTAAGACTTTGGAAACATGGTAACTGGGCTGCAATCCGCCTATTACTTGTACTAGGATCATCCAACGCCAAATTAATCACTTCCAGTTCCTCTTGAGCAGTATGCCGGAGACCATGGCTTCTAACTCCGAGAAGTTTGGCAATTCCATATTGCCAAAGTCTTAGAAATGGACGCGTAAAAACCTTTGGGGTAGGTTGGCGTTTGTTAGGAAATCTACGTTGATACTCTCTAGAAGCCGCTAAAGCTTTTCCATTACAAGATCCGTACACAAAAATAATATCGGCATACTCATCCTTGCTAAATTCCATTTCACAACACTCAAAAATGGAAAAAGAAACTTTTGACTTGACTTTTACAAAGAAAAATGGTAGTAGTAACGATAACAGCCGAATAACATAACTTTGACAAACTATCTCTCAAGAAACGTCAGGCCTCCTATTTTATTTTAAAACTGTATCTCGGCTCTTCATTAATGATATAATTTGTTTTATTTTTATTTTTCCGAAAACAGTGTACTCTAGGAGAAAAACATAAAAGTAATTATTTGTGGCAAATTTAAGGAGAAATTCGAAAAAGGGCTACATATACCAGATGAAGAGACCACTCGCTGTGAGGATAAAGGAATGGCTTCACGTTCAACAAGCCGAACCAGAGAAATCAGCTATAGGAGAATTCACATGGAGAGAACACCACGAAATAAACTAGGAAGATACCAAGATCACATATAAAGAAGTACACTCGTATCGCCGAAAATTAAAGGAGGCAGTAACAGCAACGTGTGTAGCAAAGACGTTGTAGAAATCAAAACAATATCGTAAGCAGCATCAAGACTCTATGATTGGAACAACCAGGGTATATCTCCCGAAGAACAAGTTATGACCACCGGCCAGCCATATCGTCACAAAGGACAGGTCTGCGATGACGGTAAAAATAGGTGAGGGATGAACATGTATGCCAGTTCACCTGAAAACAATCAAAGATAGTTTAGCAATCGCAACGTTGTGATCTCAAAAATTGAATAGACAATGAAAGCTCGAAATAAAATGTTTGTCAGTACGGAATAAAGTATTTTACATTTGCTTGAAATATTAGGTTATTCGGAAAGTTCTTATTTTTGTTATTTATATTTTAAATGATGTATTTTACACTAAAATATATTTACAATACTTTGACCTTACATGTCATTTTTAAGTGCGTTTTACGATCTATCTAGTCGTTGTATTTTTTTTGTTTTACGTTAATTTATTTTTTAACACTCCAAATATAGGATGGACAAGAGGCAATTTCGTACGATTTTCTTATTCCAGTTCAAATTAGAGACAGCTCGCAATATCAACGATGCATTTGGCCAAGGTACCACTAACGAACGTATGGCATAATGGTGGTTCAAGAAATTCTACATCGGTGAAGAGTACCTTGAAGACGAAGAGCGCAGTGGTCGGCCACATGATGTCGACGACGACGAACTAAAGGCCCGGCTGAAAGCAAACCCACGCATAACTGTTCGTGAGCTTGCGGACGAGCTTGAGTATTGCGACCATTTCTGATCACGTATCGGAAAGCCGGAAAATCTCTATAAATGAGTACCGCACGAGTTGAGCGAAGATAAATCATTGTTTTGAGGTAGCGTCTGCCCTCCTTCTACGCAGTAAAAACGAAAAGTTTCTCGACCGGTCTGTAACATGTGATGAAAAATGGATTCTCTAAGACAACAAGCGACGTTCTGCGCAATGGTTGGACAGCGACGAGGCTCTACAATCTTTCCCGAAACCTAAATTCGATCCAAAGAAGGTTAAGGTGACTGTTTGGTGGTCTGCAGCCGGTCTCATCCGCCACAGCTTTCTAAATCCATTACGGCGGAGAAGTACTGCCAGCAACTCGACAAAATGCATCAGAAGCTCTGTACCGTGGATTGGTCAATATGAAGGGGTCAATTTTCCTCCAGGTCAACGCCCGACCACATGCCGCACAACCGAGCCTGCAAAAGCTGAACGAATCCGGCACCATGTTCGCCGGACTTCTCTTCCACCGATTACCACTTTTTCAAGCACCTCGACAACTTCCTTCTCGAGAAATGCTTCAATAAACATGACTTTGCCAAAAATGCCTTGAATACGTGCATCGCCTGCAGAACTCCGGATTTCTACGTTAACGGCATAAATAAACTTGTGTCTCGTTGGCAAAAGTGTATTGTTTCTAATGATTTTTATTTTATTGATAAAGTTTTGTTAAAGCTGAGATATGCTCCTTTCGATTTGAAGGTTAAAAACCGCAACAACTTTCCGAACAACCTAATAAAATTGACAGATCCTGCAATTTTTCAATCGAAATGTTCCATGTTGATTTTTAATCTACAATAACAGCCTGCTGGTCCGCTATTTAAACGGGCGAGATAGGGAGCCGTGTTCATAAGAGAGAAGCATATCCTCGGAAGCATAAAGTATAAGGTCTTGTTTCTGAGCAAGATGTAGAAGTATAAGCATATCCTAGTTTTCATATTCATAATGATTACCTTATACTCGATATCCTCCAAGAAGAAGTAAAAGGTTGACTGGTATTTGTATCTTGAGCGACATGTCCTGACTCAGCATCACTGACAGCTGTACTCCAGAGCTTACACAGACCGTTCCGTATTTTTACTGGATACAGTTTTTTTATCAAATTAATAAGCATGTCATCCTCAAGTGATGAGGGAACTATAGAAAATAATGGCAATGACCTGCAGTTCATCGCAGATGAAATTGCCATTGCTTCCATTATTTTGCAAAAGTCACGAGTTCCAAAAATGAAAATGAGAATGGACGATGCCTTGAAGAAGATGTTTGAAAAATCCGAATCAACATTCGGTAAACCATTAGTTACTAAAGGCTTATTAAAAAAAATCAACATGAAATCAAGATTGAAGAAAAAACAGATCTAAAAAAAATTGGTAGTAAAGCGATTAAATTGTTAGATTGGGAAAGAAAGTTGCTGAAAGCTATGGAAGGTAACTGTAATCCTACAATTGGGAAAATTAGAGGTGCCATTCAGGTTGGTAGTGTTCAAGAAGAAGGAAGTGAACTATATACCGAGCACAGTGAGCAAACAGTTAGTATTGCAGCGCCAGCAATTCAGAAGACATTTGCCACCAAAAAGAACATTAGCAACAGAGAAATACGAAACTGAGGAAACCAAAGGGTTAACTCCAAAGGACCTGCAACGTCTGGTGCTATTACAGCAGAACCAAACAAGTTCTTTACAACAAGAGTATTATAAAACGAAATTAGAAATGATGCAGCGTCAGAAGCCACGTGGAATTTATGATGTTCACGAAAATAAAACTTGTTATAACGTATAAATATACTTTAATCAGTAAAACTATTTATTATAATACTCAAGTTCCTTCTTATTTGATGACCTGGTTGGCGGAGAGGAAGTTCGTCATTCTCATGATTTCCTTCATCTTCATCTGAGTCTTGTTCAACTAACTCAGATTCAGGATCGTCCAAGCTCTTCGCAACATTATGGAGTACAATACAAGCAATAATTATTTTCGGCTCATTTTCCAACTTTACGCGGCAAACATACATAGGAAACCGGCGTTTCAGTTGGCCGAAACATCGTTCGATTATAACTGTTTGTTGTTCCAAAAGCTTATTATAATTGATTTCTGCACCTGGAGTAGGATTTTTGAAGGGAGTCATAAGGCATGGCACAATACCATAACCGTCATCGCCAAGTAGTACAACATTTGCTTTATTTATTAGTTGTGATCTAGTCTGTGAAATTCTCCATATTCTGGAATCAGGGACTGATCCAGCCCAACTGACATCAACACATGTGAACATCTCTCTGGCATCACAAGTGGCTTGCACATTAAAGTAGGTTTCCCTTTTCGGTTGATATGCTCATCTCCATGGCGATTTGGTTTCAGGATTCCTATATGTGTACAATCAATTACGCAAATTTCTGTCGGAAATTTATACATGCTTTGCCATGTCCGCCTGGCCTCCATCAGTTTATGGTAGGTAGTTGGAAACTTGATCCATTCGTTCGACTGTGCAACTATGCTGTTCACATCTCTATCCACAGTACGAAATACCGTTGCTTGACTAACACCAAGTTCCTGACCAATACCTTGTTGATATCCAGGGTCACCGAGATAGCGTAGACATATCTGTATTTTATGAATACATGAAAGTGCTCCTCCTAGAGTTTCCTCATTCTCAACTAAAAATTTGTCCGCAAGCCATTGTACATTTGCTTCGTCGAACCGATATAATTTTTTGAAGTCACGACCAAGTGAAGGGAAACGAGGTTTGTACGTTTTAACATCCCTAACATCCACAATTTCCGCCATCATCGTTTGACCACCTTTCGTGAAGTTGACTCTGCTACTGACCACACTCAGAATTTTTGAAGGATATGCTTCCTATGCCCAGTATAAGGTGAAGATTATGAATATCCTTTTACTTATGTCACTGCTTTGAAGGATATGCTTATACTCAAAAAGCAAAAGCATTTACCTCAAATCATTATAAATACCATCTGGAGGATTTTCTTCAAAATTTGCAAGTACAAAGATGTCCTTTGTTTTATGAGTACGGCTCAGGAAAGTTCAAAATAAAGTCGGCTTGCTAACTTGACCCGTTCAAAAAATGAATAGAGCGTGGATTTCTGTAAAGCACTGTACAGTTACGCGCTTATACGTTCTTTATGCAACTGCAAACGTCATCAAAACGTGTCCTTGCTCATTCCTTGCATCCTTGTACCATCCATTTTTTACCCCGTCATTAACGTCTGTGTCTTTCTGTCACATAGTCGACGACCCGTGTAGTGGTAACGAGTTTCACGTCCTATCCTATGCAGGGTAGCAAATTAAAAGGCAAATTCCTTCTTCCTCCACCATGACAATAGGGCTAAAAGAGGATGAAAAAGCACGCGCTCGATGTTCTAGATTATGCGTTATTCGATGGAGGCTGGCGCGGATGCGACGCCTCGCGTAGCTCCTCTTGAAATCCAAGTGGCTGCCTGGAGTTTAATCGACACGAGCTTCACTGGGTGAGAGCTTTTCAGTTGTCACTTTGTATTTTGGAGGTTACTATTTCGCTATTCTTTTTTCATAACAATTGCAGATAGTATAAAAGGGCTTGATGAGAGAAACGGAATCAGCAAAGTAGCCTGATTCCAAATTCCATATGGCGACCAGCGCAAAATACCGATTATTTATATCTCTCGAAAATTTATTATACGTTACAAATAAAGTATGGAGTCCTATTAATGAAATATATAACATCTATATAGTAATTTGACATCATAGATAATAGAAAGTATGTTAGATAGCTAATAAAATAGAAAAATAGATTTTTAAAAACATGTTTTTATTTAGCTTCTCAAAAATGGAATGAAAATTTACGACAATGAGGCATCTTCATCACATTTTTTCAAATAAATGCGCGTCACGTTTTGACATCAGTATGAAAAATAATGTAACACGCTTTTATAATGAACACTTGAGATGAAACATCTTCATAGCTTCAATCGAAAAAAATAGTTTTAAATTTCAAGTTCATTTTATTAACAGCTAAATAAAAAATTGTTTAAACAATTATTTTTATATTCTACTCATGTTGTTATATACATTGTAGTTAACTACGAACGACGAACTTGTGCCGAACGTAATCCTTACAAGTCAAGACAAAGTTTGGCCATGTACTGATATGATACCCTTTCCTTATGATGGTATCAACTGATTTTGAGCGGGGTTGCGATAAGTTCTCCAAAAATGGTTTTATGGAAAAAATGTGGTATCTCCTTAATAACTGGAGAGCTAAATTCGCCAGGAGTTGGCACCTCTTTTTACAGCACCCCTGAAAATTTTTAGAGCTCTGAGCAGCTTTTGAATAGTCTCATAGTTCTCAGGGGGGTGCGACAATAGTTCTGCAGTTTTATTGATGAATTTTCAAAAAGCAGTTTTGGGGGTGCTAACTTCACGCCGCACCCCTTTTACGTAAAACGTAAGTTCTGTGCTACGGATTAGCAAGGTAGTGCAGAGTTCTACAGTTCTCAATAGTTTTTAACAAGAGTTCTGCAAAATTTACAAAATTTAAAAAAAATCAACATTAACCATCCACGAGCAGCAAGCCTCACACCCTCATGTAAATAATGATGTTCGGTAATTTTCAAACGCTGAAATTGGGGACTCTATGAAAAAAAACTACCCTTGCCTGTGGAGAATGTGGAGAAATACCTATACAATACCAAAAAATCCCACAAAGTTGTTAAGTCGTAGTTTCTGCAGCATATCACCTCCTTTAGATATCTTTAGCATAATGCCCAGTACAATTTAAAAAGCAGAACCGGGGGTGCCATGAGAAAAAACAACCCTTGGTTGGGAGGTTGTGGAAAAATACCTCCGAATATCTAAAAAGCAGAACTCAGGGGTGCCGTCAGAAGAAACTGCCCTTGGTTGGGAAAAACGATGAGAAATACCTTGGAAACTTCAAAAATTCACCTAAAAGTGAAAAACGCAGAGTTCTAACGCAGCAACCCCCTCAAATATGTTTAGCATAATATTCTGTACAACTTCAGGAGCAGAGCTCGGAGGTGCCATTATAAAAACCTAAACTTGGTTGCGAAAAACGACGATAAATACCTTGGAAAATTCACATGCAGGTGAAAAAATGCAGAGTTCTGGAGGGAGTCTTGGATTAGAATCCTGCGTATTTTCACTTTTATGTGATTTTTTTTAGTTTCCGCTTTTCCCAACCAAGGCTAGTTTTTTCTAACCGCACCCCCGAGTTCTGCTTTCCAAATCGTACTAGGTATTATGCTAGAGCTCTGCGATTTAACACTTTTTGGTATTTCGGAGATATTTCTTCACATTTTCCCCAACCAAGGGCAGTCTTTTCTCATAGGATCCCCAATTTCAGTGTTTCATAATTCCTGAACTTTACTGGTTGCATGAATGTGTGAGACTCACTGTGCTGGAGTATCGGGTACTTTTCGAATTTTCTGGCGATAGATGTGACATGCTGGTGACTTGTATCCTGAATGGTAGATGATGATGAAAAACTGCGGAACTATTGTCGCACCTCTCTGAGAACTGTAGAACTATTCAAAATTAGTTCAGAACTCTGAAAATAATCAAGGGTGCTGCAAAATGGGGTGCCAACTTCCGGCCACCGAGAACTACAGGCTCTTGCATAAATATGTATGAGATCCGAAATAATCTCGACAAATTATCTAGAACTAATGACTTTTAGTGCCAAGTCAACGATCTAGAAGGTAATCGCTTCACAATATGTATAGCGGCTGTCATTCGTCTTACTACATAAGACATCGACTCAGGTACTGTTGACGTAAATACCTATTAATGCAGGTCATTCGGTAATTGTGCGTTCTCCAAACAGATTGCAACATTGTTTTGCATTAAATATAATTAAAATATATGTTACAATATTTCTCAAAAATATGCTACTTAGGATGTCAAGTGTGGCTCTTCTAACACGTATATATTAACCTGAGATCTATTAGAGTTTCATTGATTACTGGAAGCTAGCACGCAATACCCGTGTCATATCAACCGTCATCGTCAAATGAAGCAAGTGCTGACAACTTGATTGGTAACAATACCAAAAACCCCCTTAAGTAGTGTAGATGTGAGATTCGAGCATATAGATCGGAACTTACTGAAGAAAATACAAATACTAAATGCTCTTGTTCCATCAATGATGTATTTCTGTTGACAATAAAGAACTGATCCAACTCCTGAAAGCTCCATAATCCTTCGATGATATGAAGCTGAAAAGAAATACCTTACATTCTTTACGAAAGCAAATCCTTACGCGACAATATTAAGGTATATATTGAAGGTTAATAAGGGTGCTGTTAGATGTAAACGGGGAAGACATCGTAAGCAATGAATTGAATATCACACGTACTGGCTTTTGTTAGTTTCAAGCCTCATTTTGGATAGATGACCGTCGATCAGATGGTACTACTATACTACTAAATAAAGTGAAAAGAGCAAGAAGCTGTCAGTAGGACCTTTGTTCTGAAAAAAATGCACTCCTTAAAGGCAAGGAGCTTTTGCGATTTTAAGAGAGCTGAATTAAATAACAGACAATCTATGAGTCGCACAACTGTTTCACAAAGTTTTCCTCTGGTTCTGAGGGAAGCAACAATCCGTGTCCACAATGAAGTTATTTTGTTATGCATTAAGGAAATGAGGGACAAACTCTGTGATTTCATCATTAGTAGACGAAAAAAAAACATTTCCGTTTTCTTTAATATATAGGTTCGGGTCTACGAACTTCTTTCCGCTTATCGGAGAAGTGCGGAGAGAACTCAAAAGCGGTAAGCTCATGTACACTAGAAGTACTATACCACCAGTGAAACAATAGATTATACCATATTTCAGCTAAATTTGAAACAAAATAATGTCATAGTACATTTGATAAACGCTCAGCCACGTGACTGATTTGATTGAACACTAATTCACTGCAACTAAAATCACTTACGGGTGGCGATGACCTATGGAGCAGTAGTAAGGCGGGTGGAGGCTGACATACGTTTTGTAACAAAAACGCCGTTTTACTGTTCAAAGTCTAATTTTATTACTGCTTCGCTAATTTATAACATCTGCAACTAATTTATATCAAATTAATAACGATGCCGACTGGACTATTATTCCATCTTAATTCCGTGTTCACTGTCCACTGGCTCGACTATATCTGAATGCTGAATCTGGTCGGGTATTTTTCCTCCTATCGACGCGTTTCCCAGAATTTCTATGGAAGTGGTCTGGATGCAGCTTCATATATAGACTTGTCCAAGATTCGCAGTGGCATCGTGAAAGGTCCAGAAGCGCGACCACGACTTGTATTCATTTATTTTTGTGAGACAACTTTTAAAAGGATATTTCGACATGAGTGCCTTATTAGAGGAGAGCCAATTACCAAGAAAACGGACAAAAAGAGCTTTGTCAGTTTCTGAAAAAGAAACTATTATAAATACTTATATAGCTTTTCCAAATGAAACTCAGCCAGATCGTGTAGCCTTTGTTTCAAGAGCATCAGGTGAGATTTTAGCTTTGAAGTATAATTTAAAATGTTTTGTAGTTTGATGTATTATTCTAAATTATTAAAGTTATTTTCTGTTGAATATCTTACCCACTAATATGATAGCTACTTCTATTGCACACATTTTGATTTTTAAAACATATTTTCAATTATTTTTATCATTTATTAATGAATGCATGTATATATAATATATGCAAAATGAAATAATTTGTTTGCAGGAGCATCAAGTAGCAGTGTATACGATTATAAAATGTTGGCAGAACACAAAAGAAGCAACAATCTTTCTCCTTCCAAAGGTTACCATGGAGCCAGAGTAGTTTTGGACAACGTTCCACAAGAAACTAAGGCATTAATCCGAAGAAAAATCTGCGAACTTTTCTTCCGAAACGAACCATCCATATTGGAAAAAAATTTGTTATCAATAAACGACGACAACGACTTGCCAGACTACGAAAGATCGACGTTGGCTACATTGTTGTACAAAAAACTTATTTTGTTTTTTATTTCTCTTTGAAAGTAAAATACAAAACTAAAAAAATCCATAAAATATTCACACACAAAAATAGCTTAGAGTTTTTTTATCATTCTTTATCTATACTTTATGACTAAACTAAATTTGCAATTTTGTTAAGAGGAATCACCTGAAAATCGTTATTCGTATAATATGGTTCATTCAATTAACGAATTTAAAGATTTAATGTAATTTTTTGTTTTGTAGGAAGGAAGCGAAATAGCATCTTGAAAGAAAAGGACGAGATAATATGTTGGAGACGTAGATACTAAAGCAAAATCTGGAAGTATAGAGAAAAAGGCAGGAAGATATACTACCTAGACGAGACTTCTCTCAATGCATGGCACACTATTAGTAAGGTATGGGTGGATTAATGCCAATTTATTTGAAGAATTATTTGAAAATATTATAAGCCGTCTAGAAGAGAACGCTGTCATTGTTATGGACAATGCTTCATACCATAGTAGGCATATTGATAAAGCACCAAACAGTGGAAACAGAAAAAAGGAAATACAGGAATGGCTACGAAGGCATAATGTTCCCTTTGACAACGATATGGTCACAACCGAAGTTTTAAATGTGGTCAAGGGCAATAATGTATGTCATCGATGAAATGGCTAAATCTACCAATCGGACTATTTTAGGCCTGCCTCCAGAAAAAACACAACTTTCAAGATCGCAGATGCAAAGCAGCTTTTTTACACCGCGGCACAAAATGTTACTCCGGAAAATTGGAAAAAAGCAGTCGAACATGTTGCGAAGGAGGAAGAAAAAATGTGGACAACTGACCAATGTATCGAAACAGTGGTTCAACCAGTGATTCTTATCTTTAACGTTTCAGAATCTTCAGATTATACTGATAGTGATATATATATATATATATATATATATATATAAAGAGAAAATTATCATGCGGAGAAAGGTATATAACAAAAATAGGAAAATAATGGACAAAATCCGCAAAAAAGTGGATTCGAGCAGAAAATAGGATAGGTCACCCGAGCGATACGTATTTCTGCTGGTTGGCTTCATCAGGCCCGAAATGAATGCACATATGCAACTACAAAAGTAGAGACACATGCCCATACATCCGGATACGGGTGTAACCCGAGGAAACAAAGTTGGAGAGGAAAAAAAGACACACGAAGTCCACAACAAGAGCCAACCTACACATTGTAGTATAAAATGGCTAGAAGACCTCGAATTTTCAAGGCGACAAATAACCACAACCACGCGGCCGGTTATAGCCACTTGCTGTGGTACTTCAAGCCCAAAGGATCTACAAAACGATAATTTTCTCTTTGTTAATCCTGACCCCTAATTTCGAAGGAGCCCTTTGTCCAAGATCTTGACGTTATCAGTTTTGGTTTGACTTGTGGATTGCCGCAATGAACGGTAGGGATTACACATTATTGGGATAATCCACTTTAAAGTATATCCGGGTAGAGCCGTCGAAATAAACGTGGTAATGGCTGCAGATTCATTATTGGGTATTATATTAAAAAGATCCAGAATCCAATCTACAGAAGAATTTAATATTTGAGCCCGTTTTTTTATTTTTTTCCCATATATTAAAATTTTTTTTGTAATTGTAAAAATATGTTAAGTTAACGAATCATAAGCTGGGGCATCATATTTAATATATCAATGTAATAAACCTTATAGCACCTTGAAAGTGATGAAAATGCAGAAGAAGCTGTGAAAATAAATAAAATGGTACCTCAATTAATTTTAAAACCTACACGCCACTGGCGATAACGCATTATCGGTTTTGCAGGTAGTTGTGCCGTGTAAATCGGGCTGCCCTGTCACTTGTTTTATCACTCCGTACGTTTATTGGATAGATCATAGTAATTCAGTTCTATCAACTGACATTGTACAACAACATGAGTTCTGCTTAAAAGGCAATCGACATTGAATATGCAATGTACTAAACTTCACCTCCCTGATACACTTCTAAACAGGCTAAAAATCCACAAAAGCTCAGTATGCAGGTTCGGACTTGACATTCAATTTTGTGATGTAGCATATATGCATTATGCAATTAAATCTAACGTAGGGTTCTGGTGAGAGCACGCAAACAAATATAATTAGATTTTCATGCATTTTCGTCATAACCTTGAATTGGTTTGAGAATCAAAGTCAGATCATTTGGATACTAAATTGGGTTTGCCTTTGAAGTAGGACTCATGTTGTTACAGAACATCAGTTCTGAGAATGGAAAATCACTGAACGGACTAAGTGGGGTGCTTATCGTTAACTTTCAATTTTATTTATACCATGCATTGCTTTGTTTAGTGTGAAATATTAATAAATAAGAGGATAACTTACAGTATGTTGCATAAAAAATGAATCTGACCCTGGAATTACTAGTAGCCAAAACATTTTGAGACAACTTTAAGCATTACACGCATGGATAAAACCCAGCTGATAACCTTGTCATTTTTCAGTTCTGTACCACATAAGTTGTTAAAAATGAGAGAATAAAAATGCATGAACAAGAAACCAAAGAAGACGCAAGAAATCCCTTATATTGTTTTTTTCTAGTCAAACATTTCAATATGCAGTTCAAAAGGCGGTAATTTAGATAAAAAACGAACTCCTAAGTAACTCTGTTAAATTTCAACAAAATCGATTCAATAGTGCCTGAGTTATGTGATATCAAAGATTTGGCGTGTTTAGATAAATCACTTTGTATATCCGTAAAAACCAAATTTGGAACTCTTTTTACAGAAATTTAAGTTCAGTCCATACTACCTGCCATTTTACTATGTTTATTCAAGTATGGAACACCCCGTATATGTGGTTTGATTCGGCCAAACAATAGAGCTCTTGTTACATTGTGCTTCGCTGGTTATTGTTCTACTTATCGTACTTATCGGGCTTTTAAACGAATTGCAAACCGGATTTGTATAGACACCAAGTGCCAATTGCCTGAAATAGAGTTTTACTGACGCTGCTTTGACTGCATGGGTTTCTTGTGAGTTAATTATATTTATTATAGATTATCACAACACGTTTTCTGCCTTTCATAGACTTGCAGGTAATGGCTCATTGGATACAGATACCCTTTGAGCGGCCTTAAAGGAATCTCTTGCAAATGCTTAATCCAAAATTTGATGGAGGCGCGCTTCACTAAATTAAGTGTTTTCAGCGGTAACGTTGCATTACTTTGTTATTCCACTCCTTCTACACAGATTACAGATAAAAATACGAGTAATTCATTGCCGTACA